CAGCTCATTCAGGGGTTCCCTCCCCACTCTTTGCTGTCCTGTGTTGTTGTCTTGGTGTCCAGGAAGCCTCCGGGGAAGGGAAAGTCTGACCCCTCTTCCTGTCAACAATGACTTTCTGCTCAGAGCTGACCCTCCGGGGTGAGTCACCAGGGAGGGCAATCAGGCCCTGTGGTGGAGAAGGAAAGCCGGGGGTAGGAGGTTTCCTTCCACGGCCCAAGGCTGCTAGAGGTCTGAGGCTAGATTGGGGCGTTCCAGCTGAAAGAGGGGCTTGGAACAGGCCCCCTGGGGCCCTCCAAGTGGGAGTGTTCTCCAAACTCCCCCTCTATCCCCCTGCAGGCCACGCCAGAGTGATGTTCTTTTTTTTTTTTTTTTAACATCTTTATTGGAGTGTAATTGCTCTACAATGGTGTGTTAGTTTCTGCTCTATAACAAAGTGAATCAGTTACACATATACATATGTTCCCATATGTCCTCCCTCTTGCGTCTCCCTCCCTCCCACCCTCCCGATCCCACCCCTCCAGGCTCACAAACCAACGAGCTGAGAGCGATGTTCTTAAACATGGCTTTGGCCATGTCGCAGCTTTCTCGTAATCTTTGGCGGCTCCTTACTAGCTCTGGGATAAAGTTTGAATGCCTTAGCTTAGCCCAACCTCCCTCTTAACCTCATCACCCTTCACCCCACTCCTGCCCTCCACTCCCATCAGGTGGCCTCCTCTGCCCCTGAACGTGACATACCCATGGCCATCCCCCCACCTTTGCCTTTGCCATGCCCCTTCTCCACCACTCTCTGTGATGCCTTTTCCTTCCTAGATGCACCCATACTCTAAACCACGTTTCCATCCTCCCATCATCCATCCACTCAAAAACTATTTGTTGAGCACCTTCTACTAGAATGCCAAGCCCTGTGCCCAGAGCTGAGGTTTTGACCACCGACGAGCTAGACGAGGTAAGCGCTAACAGACCTGCCAGGCTTGTGGATGAGACAGACATAAACAGGCACTTGCAATGGAGCAAAGTGAGCTCAGGGTGCTAGGGTGACACCTGGCAGGTGCACCTCACCCAGCCTTGAGAAGATCATAGAGGGCTTCCTGAAGGAGGTGATGCTGCTGATTTCTTGAGGCGTGAGTAGGAGTTAGGTAGGCAAGGGAATCAGGGAGGGAAGGGGGCAGCAAGGATGCTGGGACCAGAGGAAGAAGAAAGTAGGAGAGCCTAAGGCAAGAGACAGTCATTCTAGGAACTGAAAGTTGATCATAAAGTTTGGAGTAGAGGGTGTGAGAGGGAGTCGCAAGAGGAGAGGCTGGGAGTTACCCAGGGGCCCTGCAGAGTTTAAACTTTATCCTAAGAGCCATGAGAAGCCAATGAGAAGTTTATAGCAGAGGCTTACAATGAGCAGATTTGCACCTTAGCTGGTCCAGAGTGACCAGAGTGTAGCCCATGGATGGGAGGAGGGCAAGCAACAGGTTCAGAGATCTATTAGGAGGTGATTTACATGGTCTGGGCAGGAGGAAGTGGTGGCTTGAACCGAGTGATGGGTGGGGAGCTGAGGCCAAGAGGAAGGGGTCCAAAGTTCTTAACAGCTAACAGGACTTGGTGATTGCCTAGGCATAGGGGTGGAGGGGAGAGGAGTCAAGCGTGGCTCCCAGGTTTCTGATTAAGCAGATGGGCAATGAGGCTATTTTACTGAGGGGATCAGGTCTGCGGGCAGGGGATGATGAGTGCAAACTTGGACGTGTTCAGTTTGAGCTCCTGGAGGGGCTGCTCAGGGCAGGCAAGTGCTAGAGAGGGTGGGCAAGGCTAGATTTCTGGAGAGAGTTCTGTGTTGGAGGGATAGACTTGGGGGCCCAGGTGTACATGGTCATTGAACTGGGAGAGGACGAGCTTTCCTCTTCCATGAAGCCTGCCCTGCTTCCTCCAGTTGACTGCACCCAGCCCTAGCTCCCTCTCTACATAGTACATGCTGCTTTGTGCTATTGAGCTTTTCCCCAGGTATGGACCATCTTTCTGTTCAGAGAATTATCAGAGGTTAGCTTTTATAATATCCTCATCACAGGGGTGGGAGCCTGATCCAGAAAAAGAGGAAACAGATACAAGAAATATTTAAAAATGGGGTTTAATGGACTTGTGATTGGCTGGGTGTGTGGGGTAAGGGGCCAGGAGCCGTCACAGCTACTCCCAGCTTACCAACATGGGGGATGGTTTAGTCCAGAGGACAAGAAGAGGAATAGTTTCTGGAGGAAGAACACGAGTTAAGTTTTGGATCCACTGAATTTGTGGTGATGCCTGTAGAAGCTCTAGCTGGGAAAGTCCAGAAAGACAGAGGAATTGGAGTCTGACGTGGAGTCTGGAGTTATATGTGAGGCAGCCTCAGCCACCACCCCTCCCCCTGCTCCAGCCACAGTAGCCTTCTTTACAAGCTCATTTCTCACCTCAGGACCTTTGCACTTGCTCTTTCCTCTGCCTGAAACACTCTTTTCTCAGACATCCACATGGTTTGTGCACTTAATTAATTCAGGTTGCTATCTGGAGTAGCCCTTTACCCCATCGCTCTCTATCTGCTTACCGTGCTCTAATTTTCATCATAGCATTAATCACTCCACAGCATTCCATTGTAAAGTTGTTTACATGTTCTTCTGTCTCCACCACTGGAATGTGACTTCCCTCAGGGCAGGGGTTCAGTCTGTCTGGTTCACCTTCACCTGGAAGGCACCTGAGGAGATCCCAGAGCGGGCAGCTGGTGAACACTGGGGATGGAATGACTCACCAGGGAGTGTGACAGCTATGCCAGCAGCAGGGGCAGGAGGGGGTCACAGCCGGATGCAGGCAGAGTGGAAGGAGAAGGGGCCTGGGGCAGAACCCGGGAGGGACCTCAGGGCAACACTGAAGCCTAGGGCCAGGGAGAGGGGCCCCCAGAGGACGGATGAAGGATGTCGAGAGTGGACCTTGTATAGGCATTTGTATTTTGCACCTCAGACGGGGGCCCCAGATAGTACATGCAGGGCCAAGATGCCCTGGCAGTGGAGAGTCCCAGCAGGAGGAGAGGCTAAGATCACGGAATGCCTCAGAGAGGTCTCCTCTGAGAAAGACCCTTGGAGTGGGCCACTGGTGGCAGCTTCTGTAGCATGTGGGGACAGGCTCCAGATATAGTAAAGAGTAAACAAGGAGAGTAGCAGAGGAGAGGAGCTAGGCACAGTGTGCCAGGCTCTGGAATGCTAACTGGGGAGGAGGATGGAGATAGGGGAGGGGGGATCAGTTGTGATGAATGATGATCACAGCCTCCTAACTGCTATCCTGGTCCCACTTTGGCAGTGAACTCCCCAAACAGAGTAATCTTAAAAGCATACATCAGATCAGTTCACTCCCCTGCTCAAAACCATTACTTAGAATAAAACCAAACTCCTCAACGTGATAAACAAGGCCCTCCAGTCCTGCCCTGCCTTCTCCTCTGACCTCATCCCCCGCCACAGCCCCTGTTTGCTCCACTCTAGCCACGCAGTCTCCAGGCTGGTCCTTGAGCCAAGCATCTCCCTGCCTCAGAGCGTTGGCACTGCTGTTCCCTCTGCTTAGAACGCTCTCCCCCAGAGTGTGGCCTGGCCCTCTCCCTTACCATACTCAGGTCTCTGTCCAAAAGTCACTTCCTCCGAGAAACTTTTCCTGAGCATCCTGAGATGGTACTATCCCACCTTATGTCACCTTGTCCTTACAGAGAAGAAAATTATATTTATTGTATATAAAATGTTTACTCATTTGCTGTTTAGTTTCTTGTTCGTCTTCCTCACTAAAGTGTAAGCTCCAGGAGGACAGGGGGTTTTGTCTGTTTTGCTCATTGCTACATCCTTAGCAATGCAAGGTTGCCGTCTGACACATAGTCGGCATTGATAAGTACTGCGTGGAATGGATGCGTGAATCAATGAATAGCTGTGTGTCTAAAGCAAATTTGCAAACAGCCCTTATACACAATGGCTCTTCAAGCAGCTTTGCAAAGGGACATCCTCATTTTACAGAAGAACAAGCTTAGGCTTGGAGCAGCTGAGTGACTTGCCCAGACAGAGCCCGAGTCCATGGCTGCTGCAGGCAGGGGAGCACAGACCAGACCCCAAGTTATTCTCACCATGCCCTGCAGACCCTCTACAGGGATGCAAACCTAGGCCCTCTCTTGGCTTTCTCCTGGTCCAGCGGGAAAATGAGAGGAAGACTGAGGGGAATAAAGAAATGCCAGGAGGAGCATTGGGAGGGGTGGGGAGGGAGGGGAAAGGCTTGGGGTGGGGCAGCCCACCTACCATGGGAACTGAACACCTTGCATCCCAGCCTTGAAGGGGCACCTTTGATCCCAACAGCCCACTTTTACCTCCAGGGGATAAGCAGGGACTTCCCTCAGGAGGGGGTGCCCTTGCTAATGAAGCCCTGACCCCATTTGGCAGCCCTCCAGCCCTCCCCACAAGCTGCTGGGAATCTCCCACTTCCTGGTAGGAACTGTGGAGTCCTGGGGGGATTTTCCTCAGCCCAGGAATTCAGGACATTGTCCAACTTTTCTCATAACTTCTTCACCCTCTGCATACCACCCCACACTCACCAACGCAGAAATTGGAGGAGGGTTAGAGAGGGGGAGGGCACAGTCTCCTGGAAACCTCTGCACTTGATCCCAGAGCAGGCACTTCCTCCCCACAACTCCCCAAGCCCTTTGTCGGGTCATTTTGAAGCCACCCTTAGGGGACGGGCCCCCCCCCCCCCGTCCTCTTCGTAAGGTGGGTGACTCGATGGCTGACACCACAACTGCTGGACACACAGCCCCTCAAACCAAGATGGGGCCCAATCCACAGTGATGGGGGGAAGGGCAGGGGGGAGGTTCTGGGGGTGCCTCTCAGGCCGCTTCTCTGCTGTTGCTGTGAATCACTCCAGCCTGGTCCCCGTAGCTCCTGACGCCGCCATGATGGCTAGAAGGGCCCTTCCCTGCATCTGGCCACGTGCAGGAGAGAGTGGCTGCAGGGTGGGCAGGTGCTGGGAGGCCTTGGTCAGTCAGCCAGCCTCGGGGAGCCCCACCGGGATGAGTAGTGATCCACTGGTGCCTGGGTCGAGACAGCAGTCCCGTGAATCATGAGCGCTTGTCTGGTCTGAGACACTTCCCAGGCCAACTGTTTACTCACAGGTCCCCAGAACACCCGCTACTTCCCAGCAACTCTTTCTCTTAATTCATTTCAGCAAACACTGACTCTACCAGGACTAGAACAAGGCAGTGGAAGGGGGAAGAATAAAAGAATGAGGGAGACACAGCTCCTGTCTTCTGGGAGCCTGAGCTTCATCCTAAACTTTTACGACCACATGGTGCTTTTACGACCTGACAGGGTCTGAGGCAGGGGTGTGGGGACTTTTAGAGATAAGCATAGCATCTTTCTGAACTCAAGGAACTTCTGTTCTAGCTGGGGAGACGGATACAAACCTGTAATTCCACTCCCTGGTGGAATTACCAGTCCTTGGCCTTTCTCAGAATGCACCACGAGCCTTTGTCGTCGCCCGTCAGCTCGCCAAGCACCCCAGCGCTCCCACTAGAATATGAGCACCTCCAAGGTAGGACCTCTTCTCTCTTTGTATCCTCAGTGGCTCATACAGCTAAGCATATTTGCAGTGTAAGTGTTACGTGAACGACTTCTAAACCGCTCACAAAACTAAAAATACGTGCTGAATAGAGACGCCGGCACAGCCTTCTGGCTTCGCTGTAGAGGAAGGGCTGATTAGTTCTGAACGGTGAGGATCAGATAAGGCACCAGGAAGAAGGTGTGATTGTAGCTAAGCCCTACAGGATGCAGGTGGAGAACGGAAAGAGGGACATCTCAGGCTGAGGGGACAGCAGATTCAAATCCCCAGAGTCAGGAAAGAATATCGCTTATTTCAGCTAATGTAAAGCAACCCAGAGGGGCTGGCACCCAGTACGTGGAGGAAGGAATAGGAGATCTGGGTGACAAGGAACATGGGGCCAGGTCAAGAGGAGTCTTGAATACTATGCTGAGAAGTTTGATCTTTGTTCTGTAGACACAGAGATGCCCTGAGAAATTCTGAGGATGGGAATCATGTAAACTAAGCAGCATTTTAGGAGTATATAATGGCTGAGTAAAGGGTCTATTTGGAGAAAGCATTGCTAGGAGTGTCCTCTCTCTGGCCTTGGCCTCTTGGGAAGAGGGAGAAGCCGGGGAAAACTGGGGGGAGGGTGTGGTAGGAGGGAAGCAGAGAAATCATTTAGGAAGCAACTGTAATGTGAGGAGACATGACAATGATATGAATAAGAGCAGGGGCAGTGGGAATAGAAAGAAGCAAAGTTAGTGCCAATTGGATATGGAAGTGAGACTGAACTTTCTCGCCAGAGTAGCTGAAAGAAGACAAGAGACGGGGCAGGCTCTGGGAGTTGGGGGTAAAAAGGTGAGGCATACCACCGTGTGTTATTACCAGTATACTAGTTCCTTCTGCTTCCAGAGTAACATTGAGAAGAGAAAGAATCTTAGATTTTCTCAGTCTTGATGAATATTGATGACAGATTGTGGGTAGACTGTAGGAATACTCAGTGGAATCCACTTTGTTCCAAGGTTACACAGAATCTCTTTCTACTATTGAAACGTTTCACAGTCCCCTCCCAGTGTGAGCCACTACCAGCTCTCCTCTTCCCGCCCACCACCATAGCGAGCCCTGTGGCCTGACAAACAGGTAAGTGTTACCAGGAGAGGTAAGACATGTGGAGGACACAGGGAGGCCCTGCCACCACCATGGGTGACTTTAGTGTCCAGGAGAGTGACCCAGCCTCTTGGTTGCTTGATTTCTCCATCTCTGACGACCTCTGTCCCACTGTCTTGGCCATCCACTCCCATCACGACTCCCCAGACTGAGTCACTACCAGAACTCTCCCATCTATGAAATCACTAATTCTGACATCCTTCTAGCCTCTCAGCTTATTCACTCGATCAGTCGGCCTACACCTGTCCTCTGAACCCCTCAGGAGCACCTGTCTCCGACCCTTTCCCCCCTCTCCCTATCCAACAGCCCTCTTTTTTCTTCAGCCCCCATCACACCTTAGCTTGCACAGCTCAGAATTTTATTCACTCTTGCCTTTAATACAAACTGCCCTTTATCACACCACCCAGCCAAACCCCAACTGTGGAAGGACTAGCTCTCCTTTCCCTCTGAACTGTACCTGTGTGGTGGGTGATGTCTGCTGGAGAAGAATCACCACACCAGCCAGCTGACTGGAGCCACCATCACTGGTGCTCACTGAGCACCAGTCAAATCAGGCAAGCAAGGTTGTCCTCAGCACCGCCCACTATGTTTTCCCTAGCCTACATCTATTCAACTCCTTGTACAACCACTTTATTTATTTATTTTTTTGCGGTACGCGGGCCTCTCACTGTTGTGGCCTCTCCTGTTGCGGAGCACAGGCTCCGGACGCGCAGGC